AAGATTGCAAGATGAGCGCGAAGTGAATTACCTCCTCAGGAATTTTAGTTACGTTCCCATTCAAAGATCTGTCAATATTATTGAGAGCACCGAGAAAATCGGTGAAAGGATCCAATTTTAGTGATGTTATTGAAGTCATAAAAAGGACTGCTTTTGAAAAACGGGCTTCGAGCCACAGAACAATATTTGAACATAAAATAGTCTATCATCAGATTGCTTTAAAATAAGTACCTGTAGTGGAAAGTTAATAAAGCCAAACACAGGCATAAAGAAATAGCCGTACAAAACACAGACAAGAAGAAATCAAAACCATTCATGTAAATTTATGTGTATCCATTTCTGACTTACCTATAAGTAGAATCAGTAATAGAACAAATCTGACGGCCATTCAGTTCAGCTGTAAAGCATGGAAGCGTGAAAAGGCGTCTCAGACTAGATTTTAGGAGTGTTCCGGATGATTCTTTTCTGTTAACACGAGCGTTGGTGAAAAGCGGACGAATTGTGCTTGTGAGAATGGAACAAGGATGTGATGCGGGAGAGAAGTATCGTGTGAGGAGGAATCGGAAGAGGCTAACAGACGGGAAGAAGAGACTTAATCGAGGATTCGAGTTCGTTGTTGGGTCAACAGAAGTAGGTTTATTCGAGAGCTTCGCGCTGCTTGTTGTATGGTATGGAGGCAGTGATGTTATGAGAAGCAAGCTGCGGTATTTGAGCTTAGTCGTCTCTTCGATGTACCGAATATTATTATTATTGCCCCTGCGCGCTCATCCGCCACCCATGTCCCACCGGGGAGCTTCGACGCGTAGCACTGTCCTGCGTATTTGCACAGTTGAACCAACAACAAACTCTCTGTCGATTAATAATACTATTGCAGTGGCGGTCTGGATGAATTGTGCTAGTCTCATTCTTTCCAGCCGCCGTTATTATGGACGACGACAGAACAAAAGCGAACAGCGACGGTGATTGACAACAATTCATACTATTAGCTGAGTACACCGAAACCGCTTCCTGGTTTCACATTTTATTTTTGCTAAATTTGGGGATAAAAAGCAGTTGGTCACACTGATTACACAACAACTGGCTGCTCGTAAGTCATAAAACACCCTTAACAGTCAGTCACACACACATACCAACACACACACATTCTAGCAATAAAATTACTAGTGTTCAAGGTAGATGACAAAGCCGCTTCATAATTCACTCTTGGTAAGAGGCTGAGGCACTCGAAAACAGCGCCAATGGATAGGAAATGTCAGCAGCAGCCACCACTGGCAAAGCTGTCGATGGCTGCCTCATTCGAGAGTTGCTTAGAAGTAAGCTAATGATCAGTCTGGATCTATAATATATCATCGAAACGAATGAACGAACCATAGAAAAGCGGTGTCTTACTGATGGAGCCGAATCCTCGACTTCCAATCTCTTTTCAGGAGAGCAGTGCTAATTTCCACTACACCGTATCATCTAGCATTATCAGCAATGGTAGTTACAGCAAAGATAAGAAATTTTCGCTTTTCGGTTGATGAAAACCAAGATCAAAAAAGTAGGAGTGAATGCTTAAATTTATGACGGGATTATTAAATTCCCTGAGAGAAAACAGAAGCAGTCAATATGAGGAAGTACCGTCAAAACTGAGGTAAATGAAGGAAATGAAGCCGAGACACGATGAAAATATGCACTAAACTACATGGAGAAATAACACTGGACAAAAAGGCGCCGCTTCATTGCAAATGATGAGATGTGAAGATGAAAAAGATATGATTACGAGGAATTTGCAAAGTTGTTATTCAAAATAAATTTAGCTTAGATTAAAAGAATAAGGCTTAGAAACTGAAAGGCAAACAGGCTAAAAGAAGGCGCAACAATCGTATGTCCTGAATAAGCACCCAATTTCCAATATTTAACTAATCTTGAATATGATTCAGTGGTTAACTAGTAGTCGCTTCAAGTATTAGTAGTCGAACCCAGCACTCTTTGTATGGAAAAAAGGCTTAAAACAATCTAATGCAAAAATCATCAGTTGTAGTTGAAGTACTGGTTTACTGGTACGATAGATTAAAGATATGCAATAATGAGATAAGCTGCAATACAGATTCAAAAACCAT